CCTTTATAATGCAATATTCTTTATACAAATCATAAAATGTGTATGAACGAATTAACCTTTTATATACATTTTACTACAAAAAAATTTCGAGAAAATGTATACAATATTATACATGTCATACCAGTGCTGTAGCCAGAAGGGCACCGTTGGCACGTACCCCTTTCTCATCACCAAAATATTTTTGGTTGGCCAAAGACCAAGTACATCGCACAGAAATTTTAAAATTTATATAATTCAAGATAAATCTATGGTAACGAATAACAATAAGTTATTAATTTTATAATTTGTATTCATAAATGTAAAATAGTAAAGATAAGCACAGACTTCAGATGAGAAATACAAGTAGTGTATTTCATTTTTGTTGTGAAAACGGTTATGGTTTGATTAATAAGTATCATATTACATTATAATGTTTTGTGCTCAAGTGCCAAGTGGTATATAGTTAATGGTGACATGGTATATTATATGATATTGTTATTATTTGCGGTTAATTATTGTTCTATGATTATAATTAATTGGCATAGATAATAAATTACCGATGATTGTTCTCGGTGTTATCCCAATATTATTACTTCTCAAATTCTAAATTTCATAAACATTTTTTTTTTTTTTTTTTAATTAAAATATTCAATGTTATTTGTTTTTAATATTTATTATTTTTATTTTTATTTATTTATTATTATATTTATCATTAATAAATAAACGTTAGTATTATAAAGTTTTATGAAAAGGACTTCGAACTCTTTTACAAAAAAACAAAATATCATACAATACATAATAATATAGAAGGTTCTAAGGAAATAGTGTGGAATAGTAATATACTAAATACTAATTCATGAAATGCAACAACATAGCTACATTAGAATTTAGATTTAAATTTATTTTTTTATTTTTTTTTTATTAGGGTTAAGGCTTCGACAACTGAGGTCATTAGCCTTTTAACTGTAAGGGAAGGTACTTTAGGTTTTTAACACTTGGGTTTTTTTTKGCAGAATTTTGAATGGGCACCCGTAGGTTTCTGCMATGCCCGGTTTGGGGGCGGCGGCCTCTCTCTCCAGACATCGCGAAATGYCCAAAGAGCGATGCCGCCCGTGACCGAGATTCGAACCGGCGAGATTTAAATTATATAATAATTGAACGAAAAATGAAATGTTGTGTTTACCACATATATTGATAATATTTATATAATGATATTAATATAGTTATTAATACATTAATCTATCAATCTATGTTTTAACATAATATTAATACTTCATTATTTTTATAATTTATAATTTTTAAAAATATTATTAAAGAAATAATAATACTTTGTTATGTTAAATATAATGGCTACCATAGTTATTAGCATATAATGGTAGTCATAAAAATAACTATATCATACTCGTCCAGAATCATTAATGAATATAAACAATCTAAACAAAGTTCCTTAGACCAAATCAGTGAGTACAAATTTTTATTCTTTTTCCCAAGTATTTTATTATACTCTTCGAGAAATCAATAGTTCCATTTTAGATACCAAATTTATTGCGCTTTTGATAAACTGATGTCCAATCTAAAAAAAAATAGGTAAGATAATATTATGATAGTATGCGTCGTTTTATACCACTATGGTTCATAACCCATTATGAGTATCTACATAATATTATGATTGTTTTTAAATTTGAAAACAATGATAGTTCATAAGGTACCTGCGTACAAAAAACGACCCTGTAWGCAAACCTCGAGATATCAGCCCAAATATTAAGGTCAATATTTTTTTAGACACAGTTTCTAGCTTCTATCATGTCGGCATCGATTTTCTTAATAACATATTTGAAAAGTTATACAGCACATATTATTGTATAAAGCACAATCTGTGTTCAATTCCCAATCTGTAATGATGGCATGGTGCTACAAGAAACTTTTCAAAGTTTTGATAGTCTCACAAAAAGTATTTACCTAAAAAAAAACACAGTATCATTTTAAAATATTAAAACTTATCATCGACTGTCATCGAATTGTTTAAAAACTATAAGTTTGAGTTAAAGAAATACTATATTGTATCAATACATTTATAATAATATATAAAATACATACGCGTTGAAGTTAAAAAAAGATAACGTTTAAATTGTATGACAAAATAATTAATATAATATTATCAAGCGTTTATTGTTAATACAATTTCATTCTAATTCCATAGAGATTGTTAACTTCATAATACTAAATATAAAAATATAATTATAATAAATTAATAAATATTTACTATAAGCATTAGACGAATAGAACTATCCAAGTAATTAATGTATTAAATATTTGTTGTACTAAAACAAAAAGGTAAACATTAAACGTTATAAGAAAATATTTATTTTTATTTAAAAAAGTTTGGTTGATTTGATTAACAACTTTTATACGCTAAAATATTAGTTTTATGTCAATTAAAAATGTAGCTGTCGATTACTCGTCTTTCGTTGCAGTCATATAGTTAATTACAATTTATAATTAACAATTTAGTATTTCAGTTAATGTCATGATCTTATGAACAATAGCTAAATAAGTTTATAATTATTAGGTGCCTATACTATAAATGTGTATATACAATACGAAAACAACGTTTGATTTTATCAACAAGTCGACATACACCTACATGGAAATCTAACTATATAAATGTGAAATGAAAATTTTATTTAATTATAGAAAGATCCCCCAAAACTTTAATTTTACCGCTGAAATTTTATATTTGGTGAGGTAGGGTAGTGTATGAAGCTTACAGATTTTACTACAAACATATAATCCCTCCCCCCTAAATAAAAAAAACCATATCCCTAATTATGCCTGCACCGAAACAAAGTGCAAAGGGTCAGGCATAGTATTATATATATATAGAATTTACATAAATTCTATTGTGTAACAAAGGTGGTGAGATTAAAGTATGTTTATTTAGATAAAAAAACTACCCCACACACGCACACAGAACATAGCCCTCAATGGAGTCATAATWAACTGCTCTAACAATAATGCGTACATTGCAGGTAGGGGAAATTAAAAAATTAAAATATCCACAAATGAATCCGATAAAAAAATGTTGGCGTTTATTKTTTTAGGTCAATTCTCGAGTGTAGCGCACATTATTATAATAATAATATACATGTGACATATAGAAGATGTCTAGAGCCCACGTCGAACCTAATAGTTGTATACATTTTATATTTAAAACGGCACTACTGTTTTTTTTTTTWTTATTATTAAAGAAACTTTGTAAACAATTAGCTTGGCACTACTGTTATTCCACGGTTTTACCTGCAATGTACGACATGAATTATTAAAAATTAAACACAAGATCAAACTTACAGTCAATATTTATTATGGTAGCTATATTATCGTAAAGACGTATTTTACTCATGTTTGAGTTTTAAGTCTAGATTGAAACTATTCGTTCATTTTTTAAATGATTATTAATATTTGAATAGATAATTTAAATCAGTAGCTTTCAGCTATTAGCTTATTATTGTATTAAACAAATTTAATAACTTTCGGTGTATTTTTCTTAATTCTTAGGTACACTTATATAGTTATATACGCATTACCTGTTTTTTAAATTTTGTAGCAGTGTTTAGATTTTTACGCTGTTTACAGAGCGATACAAATGCTGTTTTTCCAAGTGAAAATCTTTCACTATTTTTCATACTGCGACAATTGCTAGATCGATTCAAATCAAGTCGCATTAGACCACGCATCAAAATGTCTGATGTATCGCCTTTGCAACCAACCTGAACCTTGGTTTAGCTTATATATAGTTATATGTATAGAATATTCATGATTAGATTATTGTAAATCATGTCTTGCATTTACCACCTAATGGCCAACGTAAAACGAAATAAAAATCAATAGGTAGGCACTTTATTTTAATGTAATAAGACTCTCTCTCCAAACAGTCTAAACTATATCTACGAACCTACTTACGTGTTAAACATAATATTATGTAATCACTTTTGTTTTGTTTTGAGTAGTTAAACGTTTGCACTTATAGAAGGTGATGGTTGATGATATTGTATATATTTTACACAGTGCATTATTGATTATTCGTGTAATTTTAAGCGATACAATTTTTAAATATCTAGCTAAATGATAACTTATATAAATATACKCATTCGCAGTATTTATATTCCTAAATACCCTACGTTCAAGCAACGTAAGCAATGTATTCGTATTTCACTTAGTTATACTTACTTAAAAGATAACAAAGCGCAACCAAATATAAAAATAATAAGTTAGGACGAAAGAAAGTTTGTCTCGGGGTCGGTGAAATATAAAGTCAATTTTCTAAATATGTATATAGATATAATATAATAGGTTTACCTACACGGGTTAGGGGCGGAAATTGGCGAAAATTCTCTCCAGATATATTATAATATTATCWCCTATTATTTTATGTACCTAAATATAATATATACACTGCAGGTGGACGAAGTGATCGACGCCATACAGGACGCCGAGCTCAGGGACAAGTTGCGAACGGTTTGCTTGACGGACGACAGATGTTACATGACGTTCGCCAACGCCGAGTGCTTAGAACGGGCGCTGCACACGGCGCTCAGTGTCCGTGACATACCAGTGCTGTTGATGGACACGGGAGCGGGCGCCGTAATCCTGTCGCTGACGGGCGTACCGGACACCGTGGCCGACAAAGACGTACTGAAATGTCTGAAGAAATACGGCACGATCATCGGTAAAGAGCGATTGAACGAATATTCAATGAATTATAATAACCTATATATATGTAATATATATTTTGATGAGCGCGAAACTGCAGCGATGTATACGATCGACAAAAAACGATGTATTAAACGATTTCATATAATATTTATTTAGGTATTGTCTATACGAATTATATTAATTAAATACCTATAGCAAGGTAGGTGAACCAACAGCAAGTGCGCCGAAGTTGGCACGTTGGTCAAATATCAATGGCACGCGAAAGATTAAAATAATAAAAAATTATGCTACTGATTATGTTCTATTTAGTATTTATATTTTATACGACTTAGTGAACTAGCACGTGAACAATTTTCAAAACCTTGATTAGAAAAATTTGGCACTTGATCCAAAATGAGTTCACCATCCAAGACTTATATAGGTATAACGGTATACCTTCAGTGGAGTGATTATTACTCCTGCAGGCACTGCACTGCTTACGCATCCCCTATAGTATTAGGCAACAGATGACGTGTTTTTGCACCTACTGAAGCTTGACTTTGATGGTATTAAATTATAAACAATTTACAGGTTTTATAGAATTTTTTTAAACTGAATAGTTAATAAAAAAGAACTTTATTTGATAATTTTGTTTATTAGTACCTATTATCAATCAGTGGCGTAGCCAGGGGGGGGGGGTTTGGGTGTTATAACCCTCCCCCTCAGCCGTATTTATATCAAAAATATAATGTTTATTTTATAATATAGGAATACAATCATTTGGTTGTGGTAAAATGTATTCTGTTATGCCGTATTCACACACTACCACGGTTTAAGATAAACTTATCTTAAATAGTGCACACAGTGTCGTATTATTGCATTCGTGCAGATAATATTTACACTACACCATCATATTGTGTAATTTACGTTATCGACTGCACAATAATCATTATCATTCAATTATTTTATTATTAATTTACCATGGTAGTAGATTTATCTACAGTTCTGCGGTCTAGTTATTATCAATATGAATATTATCACAG